TATATAAAGGAATATATTTCTGTTTCTTGAGTAATGTTTTCCTTTCTTTATCTAGGGACATCAGTGTATACAATGTCAAGAGAAGAACTTGGGGAAGACCTGGAGACGATAAAGCGCCAGCAAGCAGAAACGCGTCTCAGACTTAGCTTAGCAAATAGACACATAAGTACATTATATTCACAGGTTCGTTTAAGAATTTTATTCCTATGCTTGATTGTTTTTACTTATATTTTACATATTTATTTAAAGTATAGTGTTTTCTTAGTATCTGATATGATCATGCAAGATGGTATTACTGTTAGTAAGCTGACATCTGTCTTAATTAACTTTTTATTTTCATAGGTGCAAGATTTGGAGGTGCAATTCAAAACGGCTATTAAGCATAAAAAACACTCGGCAAGGTATAATCTACGGCAGAAGCTAGCTGTGATTATGGGCCTGAAAATTGTATATCTTAATTATTGTGCTGCCAAATCACAGGAACTAGAAAGGATTAACCAGACTCTTGAGCGCTTCATTGGCCGTCAGGAGGAGGCTATGGACACAGACACAAATGAGGAGCCTAGTCTTTCCATGCTCGAGATGTAAAGTGCTAGCAACTTGAAGATTTATTTTAGTGTGTTCTCGTCTATTTCTGATGTTTTGCGATGTGATTAGGAGGAAGGAATTACATGTTTTGTTGTAGTATATTTCAATATATATTTATTTATTCTTTGGTGTGTGCTCTTTTTTTCTTTCTTTGTCTTATGTAGAGAAATTAGTTGCAAAAATGGTTGAGTCAGATAGTGAGTATGAGGAAGAAGAGACTCTGGTCTTGGTAGAACTTCATGGAGTCATTGATTCCGAGATTTTTGCACAAGATTCCTTTGACAAATTCAAGATTCTCGCAATCGAGTCGGAAAGTCCCATCCTGCAAGTTGAGAACTTCGTCTTCACTGGGGAGTATGACCACACAATGGGGACAGCTGTCATCTTTGAGGAGGAGGAAAAGAAAGTGAAAAAGTGTGATCCAGTGTTCTGCAAGAAGCCCACCCGGATGCTCAAGTATGTATGCAAAACCAACAAGAAACTCAATATGAAACGGGTCTTTGTCTCGGAGAAATCAGAGGGGAATGCAGTGAAGTTGAAAAAGGAGAGAATGGAAGAGGGAGAGAGGGAGGAAGCAATGGATTTCTCAGCAGAAGAGGCATCGGGAGGGCTGGAGCCAGGGAGCGAGCAGCTAGATGGAGACAGGGAATACTCAGGTGGATTTATATCAAAGGAATAATGTATATTCTCTATTAACATGTATGTATTTCAAACCTTGGCAATGAACGGAAGTATTTTAAAGGAATATTTCTCTGTGATTGTAATTTGTTTCATGTCATGTACCAGAGTTTGAGATGTAATTTATTTATTGTATCCTATTTTTAGTTTTGATTTAATAATTAGTAATAATGTTATATTGCTAAGTGAAATGTACTCATAATGCAGAAATTCCCATTGTGTCTTAGCTCTAATGTTATTGACACATGGAGTGCTCTCGGTTTACTTTAAATACTCTTCACTTCCATCATCTTCATCTTGTCTTTCTTTAAGTTTACTTTCACCCAGAATAGTTTCCAATAGTTTCCAATGTAAACTGTCAGGCTGAATTAATGACTATTCATTAAATGTAGTTATACATTATGTTGTCTGTAAGATCTAAAGTCATAAAAATTAGCACTTACCACCATTTATTTTAACCTTTTAGAATATAATGGATCCTAGAATCATGAACTGTTATTACAGATCCACAGTTGATTTAAAGGTACTGTTTTTGGTTCACTGATTTTCTTATATTTATGTATTCCTTTCTAGGTACATTGCATTACACACCTCAATCATGACATGGCAACTGTTAACTTAAAGCAAAAAGGTCCTTCTAGTGCAGGGGGGTCAAAGTGGTTAATATTGACCCCTAGGGATGGATAGGACTATCCAAGGGGTCAATAAATGCCTGGGGGTCAAAAGGGTGTCAGTTAATGCAGGGGTTGTTTGTTTTGGGTTTGAAAGCTGACTTTCATACAAGAAATGACAATGCATGAAATATAACTTACTGATACATGTTTCTGATTAATATATTTGTTTCTATTGTCTATTTATTTTATATAATGTTTAGTTAAATAATAATTATATAGTCAAAATAATTTTGCCATTAATTGGAAGCACAAAACAATGGACCATTTTTAAAATGCTGTTTTCCACACAAATTGATTACGTTGATTTTTTTTTTTTTTCTTTTTTTCTTTTTTTTTCTTTGATGGTACTATATTGTTAACGGTTGCATTTTATTTTTGTAATTTTTTAATACATTTTAGCTTAGTGTTAACTTTATTTTGATAAGCAGTTCCAGTTGCTAATGTATATGGAAATGTCACATCTACTTTATCATTTGTAAGATTTATTTATTTTTTGTACATGCCTGTGAGTCAATGAGAAATCAAGGAGTCCATGAATGTGTCAGTGGTCTAAAAAATTTAGGGATCCTGTTCTAGTGTAATGCCCTTAGTAGATACTTGGGAACTGACACTTTTAAGTATTCTTTTTGAACATAACATTGACTATAAATGGGAAGGAATTGTTTTCATCCTGTTTACATTTTGTCATCTGAAATACTGTTAGAATGACACAACGAATAATGTCATTGTTAATATCAGAAAACATCACAGTTTTCCCACCAGGGCAGTCATTTTTGTCATTATTCAAAATCAATTTTCAAAAGGTGGTGGTGAATAAAAATCTGTTAGTATTCTTTAGCAGTATCACATGAAATGTCAATGTTAATGAAGTAGATATTTTGCAGTGGCCAGCCTTTATCTAAATTGGGCCTGAAGATGTTTTCTCAGTATAAAAGTGCTGGCCAGTAAGACCCGAAATTCTTAAATCAGGATTTTGAAATAACAAATTTTTCTTAACTAGTTCATCCAACAGCCTGGTTAACAAACTAGCCATTTTTCTGAAGACATTTTGGTGACTGGCTAGTTCAGTGGTAGTGTACAGAACTTGGATGACCTGCATTTACGCCCAGCCTAAGGCACGAGAAAGTCCACTGTTGCCTGGGGTGGTTCACCAGCTATAGTTTCCCTACTCCAGACATAGCCAGCAATGATTCAGATTCCATGTGGGTGATCTTAGCACTATAGTTCTAGCACTGCACATTTGCTGTCACTCATTAGTGGTCATTTACCTTGAAACTTTAAAATGTTATTCCATATTTATTAGCTTTAATTACTCAGGAAACTTTCTCATATATATGATTGAATAATATTCTCAATGACAGACCTATAACCACATGGAATGAATGTAAAAAGGTAAATGCTGAACTAGCTTGAAAATGTAATTGTCATTAACAGAATAATGACACATTCACCCATACCTTGGGGGATAGCAATTACAAATGTCGTGCCCCCTGTGAGTTTAGTTTGTTAATTGCCATCACACATAGCTCCAGAAGTAGAGTCACCAAAAAGTCATTTACAGATCATAGTTATCATACCTCTTTACCCTTTTCCTCAACTTTAGGAAATATTCTTTTTTTGATATTGCAATCAGTATTGTTAATAATATTGCAATAATTATTATGTTAATAATAAGGATAATAGTATCGGTGAATATAACATTTGAAAGAAAAACAATACCCCAAAACTTGTGGAAAGTGGAAAACAGGTGAGATCATGTAGGTTTACTAGTTGATTCTGTGGTAGCTTTGTACTTGCGGAGCCATGCATGTGTAAATGGTTAATTGTTGAAACAAATAAATGTGCTAAACATCAAAGTTCATATAGCAATATGGTAAAGTATTCTGGGGAAAAGAGTTAAAAATGAGTTGACGATTAGAATAAAATGTTAGATGTCAAAGGATATAGACTGATATATAGATAGTATGAAAAGGGTAAAGAGGGAGTGCAAAAGAAGTAAATGAGAGATTAACAAAGGAAAGGGTTAAGGGTATAGAGCAATTAGATGATATAGTATGTTGCTTGGGAAGCAAGAGGAACATTGTTTTAGAAAAACTTGCAAAAGAGCTATTATGAAACAATCAACGGGTAATACAGGTAGAGATAGCTATTGGAGAAATAGCAGGAGAATAATCTGTGGAATAAGATAAGGTAACTGGGGAAGGTGGTGAAGTATCAGGAAGAATGTCAGGAGGGGAGGGATACAGTGAAGGACACTATTGTAATAGAAGGGATTCACGTGAGCATCCAGGTGGGGAAGGTAAGGATAATGGAGAATGAAGAGGGAATGGTGCATATGGAGGAGAGGATGGGGTGTGTTTGGAAAGAGGTGTAGGGAGGAACTTGCGGGGGAGGAGGATGGATATCGGAAAATACTTTGAATATAGAGGGATTAGAGGGTGGATGAATGGGCAGAACATTCTCCATGTCTTGAGAATTTTCGGAGGTCTTCAAGAGTTTCTGGACAGGTAAGGTGGGGAGGTCTGAGAAACAAATGTTTTCTTATGAGGAGGATATGAGGATATGATATTCTTATGAGGGGATACCTGTTCGAGGAGCAGAGGAAGAGGGTGTACTGGGAGATATGCTGAGACATCTTGAGAAGATAAGAGTTTTAGAATTGGTAGAGAGAGAAAAACCTCATCATTGTGCTTCCTGTCTGGACTCACGTGTAGTGAGGCCTAGTTTGAATCTGAGAACTGCTACCTCACATTCAAGCTTATAGGCAGAGTAGCTCCTATGAAATACATTATTGGAGCCATCACAGTTGACACGTGTATGTACCTTAGCAGGGCAGTTTGAACGGTCATGACCAGGTTAGGTACTTAGGTGTGCGTTTGGCTGGGTGCCCTAAATGCCAACATTTCTGACACTATGAAGAGGTCAATATGGTCAGACGGGGCAGGACACTCCACTATCGTACTCTTCATGGGGGAGGTCATGTCACTTATCTTGTTAGTATCAGTGTAACTGGTAAGGATAGTGTAGCACTGTACTGCCTCTATCATAGTCAACAAGGCAGGCAAGTAGGTCATTTTCACAGTCTGACCGGTTCTTGTAGATAGGACAATCAGTCAGGGAGATGAAACAATCATGGTAAAAGTATGAAGAGTGAGGTCAGTTAGGTTAGTGTACGAGCTTGTAACTCCAATTTAACTGAACAATTAGAATGGTACGAAAGGGAACTTTGCCTACTTGTTTTTGGAGACATTGTAGGAAGAGAAGGGTATTGTCTGAGGAAGGGGCTGTAGGGGGAATCATAAAGAATAGTTCCTATTTGACCGGGCCAAAGAGAGTAATCAAAAGGTTTGCAGAGGTGGAAGCAGTAGAAGGACAAGGGCAGGAGGATGATGGGGTTAGGTAGTATGGTGGGGAGGAGGACAATAAGGATGAAGAGGGGGGATGGGGTAGACAATGAAAAAGACTGTTGGGAGAGAGGAAGGGGTGCTTTCTCTAGGTTGAGTAATGACCTAGGTGGGTTAGAGTTGTCAGTAAACATTGAGGAGGGAATTTTAGTATCAGTGGTTGGAGCCAATGATACTAAAACCAATGACAGGCTATTCAATGAAGTGTCAAGCCTTCATTTAATGCCCCTAATAAGATTTGATTGGCCATGGTGAGCTTTAAATGAATGGGCAAAAGAAACAGCCTATCAAGGTCCCCACCGTGACCATGGCTCCCAAAGGTGATTCAAAATGGGTGGACAGATAAGGAAAGGGGGAGAAGATTAATGAGGCAAGGGCTGAGGCCCAATGTAAGAGTAATCTCCCACCAGTAATGGATTGGGGGGGGGGGGGATGTATGTGTAAATGCATTTCATGGTGAACATATGTTCTTATCAGCATTAAAAAACAAAAATATTAAGCTTGGATACAGTTCTATACTGTCAGTGTCATTGAAAATGTGATGCATAAATTTAACCAACACTATTTGAGAAAAGGAGTTTGGAATACAAGTAAATTTTTTCACTGCTGATGAGAATGTCTAGATTTAGTAATAGCTCTCATCTGCATTTCATTACAAAGTCATCATTTATTCCATGTCAACAGTTGTTGCTAATTCCGTACACAGAATTTTAGAGGATAGCAGTCTGAAAAATAGGTAGGGGTAGTTGATTTTATTAGAAAATTACATTTACATTTATACACATTACCTAACACAAATGTAAAAGTATGGAAAGGAGTAGAAAATATGTATATATATTCTGATTACTGTACAAAATATATATTTTATTTTGGATGTACACAGACAAAAGTAACTGAGCTTGTGATCATGCTGAATTCTTTGGATGACCTATACAAGGATATTATGATTGACAAAATCGAAAAAAAAAAAGAAGAAATTACAAGCACTGGTAAATAGTTGAGTATATTTTTATCTCTTCTTGGTCTTAAATCTCTCAAACTCAATGACCTGCTTGACATGAGACTTGGCTATTTTCTCCATATTGCGACTGGTTGACCCCTGGCCGATGACATCAAGGGCAAAGGGTCGGCAGACAGTGAAGAGCTTCTTAAAGCACACCTTAAAAAGAGGATCCTTCATTTTTATTCCCTCTTGGTCGAGAGCCTCCACTACTGCCATTCGGAGTTTCTGGTGATAGATGGGTGGGAAAGACGGATTAACCAATTTGTAGGTTGAGCTTGTTGCTATTAATTTTGTCAACTTTGTTACTACAGTTCTTATACTTTATTATTATTATTTCTGTTACTTAATTATGTTTACTGAAAGAACAATCTTTAGTTGACTTGCTGTTGACATACTAATAAATTTTGGGTATGTATGTGAATCACAGCAGATACCTTTATTAATGAAAATCAATATTTCAAATAAAGAGAAAGAGGAAGCAGAACTGGACAAAGTAAAAACAACAGAAAGACAAGCAGAAAAGAAGGGACATCACTATCAAAAATGCCTGAAAAGATGATGCTTACCTGTTTATGCAAATCACTGAGATCAGCTGGTTTGGGATACCTCTTGCTATGTGGATTGGCACTCCTGAGAGGCCCTCGAGCAGCTGAAGGTTGCAACAGGTCTGAGGGCTTCATAAGATTGCCTAGACCTGCAGATTTCCTACTTCCGTCACCTGATTTGCGAGGAGACCTAGAAGAGATTTTTTTCAGTGATTAATTCAGTAATTTTGTTTTGTTTGATACTTCATTAGGAAAGCTTCTATAAAAGGTTTTACTGAGTATCTCTTATCAAGTATAAACAATATCATTATATATTACAGTATTGATTGTGACTATAGTCTAATCTGTACAAACTTACCTCTTTGACATGTTTTCTGACTGCTTTGGGTGCTTGCGAGGAGACCTTCTCAGGACTTGCCCCGGCTGCCTTGAGCTGTGGTCACTCTTTAGACTTGCATTGTCTGCATCATTTAGTCTTGCACTGTATCTCTTCCCAGTTCTACCTTGGTCCTCCTTGGTAGATTTTGTGGCTTTCTGGTCTTTATCTTTACTATTAAAAGGGAGGTAAAAAAAAAAATTATTAAAAATATAATAGATATAAAAATGAAATAGGAAAGGCAGAGAGCAGTAATGGTAAGAGGTTGAAGTATGGCTTATATATTTACCTGGCAAGCTTGTGGGATGATACAGTGACATAGGCAACTTCTTTGTCTTGGAAGACTGTACAAGTAGATGCAGTCTCTTGTCTGATATATCGAGCCCTAACCTGGTTGCAATGCTCGGCGAACTTTTCATGTCGCTCGTCTACATTGTAACTGTGAATTTTGAGAAGCAGATGAAGGCAGATGCTAATAATGATGAATGTGAAATAAAGAAAAATAAATAAGAAGGAAAAAAAAAAAAAAACATGAAATTTGTCTTGGGTCAGTTGAAAGAGAAAGCAGGCTGCTGATGGATATTTTTAGAAATGTTATAATTCATATCATGGAATTCCTATATGAAACTGTTATAGGTTATGATCTAGAAAAGAGTAGCCAAATATCTTACAACATAAGGAAGGGATACAAAACCTTTAACAAGTGAAAACTACATCATACTTAGTTCACTTATTCCATTTCTTTTATCATCCACCTTTCACATTCTGAAATTTTGCTTATGACCTTTTCTCTTTTCCTGGAATACATATTACATAAGGACACTAATTACCCAATGTAGGTCCCTTCATAACTTACTAAATGCCATGGTGTCGTGCGTAGAGAGCTTCTGGCCAAAGCAAACCCTTCACTTCTTGCAGAGACAGCTTGCTTTTGAAAGGGTATGGGCCACAGGATACTGTGGAAACAATAAACGGATGCAATAATCAAATGCATTTTGTTTGATTATATATATATATATTATATATATATATATATATATATATATTGTATTCCAGTTTTTTTCTATGTATGCATTCTATGACAATAATAATAATATGATTAGAAAAAGCTTATTAGGTGTTCTGAAGCTTTTTTTTTCTCAATCATATTTTTAAAAGAAATTTTATTAAAAAAAAAAATAATAATAATAATAAATAATAATAATAATAATAAATAAAATTAATAAAAATAACAATAACAATAAAAATATAATAAATAAATAAACAGAAAAATGCTTACTTTGTATTGGGTTTCAAAGAGGGAAAGAAAAACAAGAGGTCAGGGATGACTCATCTACCTCTTGTTGAACAAAGCAAGTACAACTGAACTATTTATGAACATAAAATCATTCAGGTGATAATGTAATTTTTGTCTTTCTGATGTCATAACTGTAGCACAAAACATAACCAGCCATTTTTCTAGGACCACTAAAATACTGGGCTTACCATGTTTGGTCATTCTTTGCCGAACTCTTTCAGAAGGCTGCCCACTTTTGGTGAAGAGCTTCGTCAGCTGTGCAGCTTCAAGTGTAAGTATGGCATCTGGAGGAGGTGGTGGGGCCAGACCTCCTAACAAATCACCTGAAAACAAATAAATATCTAAAATAACAAAGAAAGAAGTGTTACTTCCAGCAGATTACCCAAACAGATACAGACAAACATACAAGAAAGAAAGAAAAAAAATACCTACCAGCTTGATGCTTGGCTTGCAGACATCTCTCTGCCTCTATTTCTGCTTCAGCTAAAGCTACATATTCTGGCCACTGTGTGGTGCTGATGCTGGTCTCTGCAAGAATAGAGAGGGAAGTCATTTCATTGTAGACAATCAGCTTACAATGTTAATAATTCACTTCCTAAGTTCTTGAAGCCACAAACTCGATTTGGACATTTAACCTGTTGGATCTGGGTGATGTGACCATTACTTCCTAAAAAAATTTGGCTGAGGGCCAAGTGACAGAAATGTGCCATCATGGAGATATTTGGTTTGATGACTGGCACAAAGTAAATATGCAGTAATGAAAGATTCAGCTGAAGGCCAGGGAGAAGACTAAACTTGGTGGGCATTTAGGAAGGGCTCTTGGATTATTTCCTCAGGTAAACAAGGGTGGAATGAACCATTTGTGAGCTATACATGGAAGAGCACCAGCTACAGGGAGAACACTACTTCCATGCTCAAGATCCTATTCCTACCTGCTGTGTCAGGCAATGTGGATTCGTTACAGAAAATTGAATATGAAAATATCAAAAGATGACAAATAACAAAATGTTACTTATTGTTACTGATATTGTATTGTAGACCAGTTAGAGAGTTGATGTGGAGTCTGCACAAGGAAAACAGTCTTATCTCCATCTTGATGCAGTATATCAAATGATAAGTACAGATCTTGAAAAAAGAAAAAAGAAAAAAAACAAGCTTTACAGAAAAGCTGCTAATTACAAAATGGAGTGCTGACATTGCACGTGTTCAGTGGGCTGTTCTACAAGTCCCACACCTGGTAGAGTTGCCTCTCAAGGAAGCCTAATGGCCAGATTTTTAACCACATGTGGTTAACACAGCACCCAGATCCAACTGGTTAATGTCTGTTCAGTATCAGACAAAAATATAGAAAAATTAGTACATTAGCTAAGTCACCATCAAAATTACAAAAGAATTTTTTACTGTACCTGGCAAGACAGGTAATGTATTTTCTGGCAACTTAGCAGGATGTGCTGGCATCAGCAATAAACATCTTAGTAGTTCCTCACTGGCTGCTGCTTCCAGCTCTCTTCTTGTTTCTTCATCCAATTCATGTACAGGTCGACCAGCTCGAGCTAAGCGGCCACTAATCTGAAATGTCAAAAAATAAACAAATAGATATATTAATAAATAAATCAGTAAACAACAAACACAATCATAAGATAATATAAAAGGAGAAGAAAAAAAAGCTACAAAATGCTGGATATCATCTGCCAAAGTGTAGATCATCCTTGGTAATTCTGCAGGGTGTTATGAACTAACAGCTTCACTCAACAAGCTGAGGCTTCTCAACCAAGATACAGACCTATGCCCACTGAACACCATAAAATGCTCTTATTATCAATTAAAAACATTATAATAATTATCAAATTGATAATAACATTACTAACAGTAATACAAGTTAAAAGAGAATACTTTTAAAAATCAAGAAAAAGGATAAACAGGTGAGATAAGAGGTACTAGTAACTGACTCCTTGGTAACTAAGCATGTGTAGATCCAATCTGGGGAAAGATGATTAATAAACTAAACTCACAGTGGGAATGACATGTATGTACATCTCATCCCAAGTGGCTAATGAACTACGAACTGTATTCATGTTGACAAATGTGGAAAGGTATGAATGAGAACGAATATCTCTTGTATTGTGAAGATATTCGTTCTCATTCATACCTTTCCACTAATGAACTACATATGTTATACACCTGTCAGTACCTGTATTTATCTTTCCATTCTTATGCCATTTATGCATCAATTACCATTCTGACTTTTTAGGTTGTTCATCTGAAGAACAAAAAAATTACTTTTCTTCTTCGTTCATTTGTTCTCCCTAATCCTTCCAAATGCATTCCTGCAACTTGCATAATTATATTTCATTTAAATCAGTGCAATGTGACAACGGGGTACCAAGGGAATGGGAGGATGGGGGTATTTGTAGGGGGTTCTACATACACCATACATTACGACAATTCTTATTTTACACTTAAAACTTTTATACTATATTCATTCAAAAGGAGAAATGAGACAGGGTTAAACTGCTTATATGTGATTACCTCAGAGAGACAAAGAAGCACTAAAGGGTGGGGAAATGGGGTGGATTTGGGTGGCTGCAGCTGGAAGAAACTTGCTGTAAAATTGCGTGAAAATAGGTTCTGCTTTATTGTAGCCACTCAGATCAGCCCTTTCTTTCTTATCTTTTTTTCTGAGAAGCCTCAAAACCTTTTATAAGTATTTCATTCCAAAAATTAAAATATGAGTGAAAAGTTGGGCCAGAAAATTATTTACTTTTTAATAAAATCTAGCTTGCTTTACCTGAATACACTGTAGTGTTAGCAGATAAAATACAAATATGATACCTTTCGGGTGGCTGCTTAACTATTCAACCAGCTCTACAATTCCACTATTCTTCTAAACTTCTCTCATTTTAAAAAGTCCAACTCATTTCAAAGTTTGTCTTTGACATTTCAAAAAGGTAATGATATGATAAATAAATTAAGACTTGTTCAAACTCAAGTCATTAACTCTTGAAAAAAGGCAAAATTCCATACCTCACAGGACACATTTCAAAGAAAGTAAAGCATCTGGTATATCTCAGAGTTGACATAAATCATATAGCCATTACAAGTTGCCTATCATACATGAGAGGTCAGCTTATTTACAGAGAAGCATATTATCAGAAACATCTGTTGCCATAGAGCCTATATTTTCTACATTCAAAACACTGAAAAAAAAAAAAGGATATAGTAAAAAATAAGACAAAATATGAGAGAGAGAAATGAAATTATATATATATATATATATATATATATATATATATATATATATATATATATACATATATATATATAATATAATATATATATATATATATATATATATATATATATATATATATATATATATATATATATATATATATATATAAATATATATATATATATATATATATATATAATATAATATATATATATATATATATATATATATATATATATATATATATATATATATATATATATAATATATATATATATATATATATATATATACATAAATATATAAATATATATAATATATATAATATATATATATATATATATATATATATATATAATATATATATATATATATATATATATATATAATATATATATATATATATATATATAATATATATTATATATATATATATATATATATATATATAATATATATATATATATATATATATATATATATATATACTATATATATATATATAAATATATATATATATATATATATATATATATATATAATATATATATATATATATATATATATATATATATATATATATATAATATATATATATATATATATATATATAATATATATATATATATATATATATATAATATATATATATATATATATATATATATATATATATATATATATATATATATATATATATTAT